CAGCCGCAGTACATCACCCGCAGGCAGTCTCACGAATTCAAGAGTTTGGCACAAATGCCCGTTCGCATATAAACAGTTCACATCCTACACAGCTCCTTCACGACACTGCACTCACACTTGCTCAAGTGCCCACGCTGCACAGCCCCTTCTTTCTCTAGCCCATCTCACACGCCCAGGCGTCCCTCACTTCTTTGCACAAGATTGCACATAAACACAATGTTTTTACTACTTTCCATCTCTTCCACAAGCCGGCAAACCGGCCACATCTGTGCTCTCCCCTTTTCCCCCACAACTCCAGCAAGAGGCTTCCCGCTTAGTGTGCAGCGGCCACAGTGGCCAGGAATTAAAATGCAGCAAGGAGGAGCCGGGAGCGTCAGCACCGCCTCTCCAGGAGCGCACAGCGCTCGCCGCGGCCGCCGCCGCCCCGCCCGCCCGGAGCCGTGGGGCCAGCCAGCGCAGTAGCAGGTGCTCAGAGCCCAGCCGCGCCAGCCTCGCGCGGCTGCTGCCCAAGTTCGCCCGGGGCCCGAGGAGGGCCGGGCCATCGATAGAGGAGCGCAGCCGCCGCCGTTATCACTGCCACCGACATCGTGGACTTGGAGTCTTGTGAGGAGACCGGCCCACGGAGCAGCAAGCTCGGAAAAGCAGCGAGTCCGGATTAGCCCCAGGAGGTGTTGCCTGGGCTTCGCAATTCCCAGCTCCCGGCGCCTGGGGAGGAGAAGAGGCTAGGAGCAGCACAGCTGAGCTTTTCTGGAGACTGTCCGTACCGAGAGGAGAAACGATAGTTCCCCGGAACCAGCAACCTTGGAGGGGCCTGGGAGCGAGTCGCTTTCCGCAGGACTCCCTGAAAAGCCCCCGGCCCCAGACCACAGTAGACACCTCACGGGACTCAGGAATTGGACTTGGAGAAGCCTGGGAACGTCTCGGCGAAAGGCAGCCCCGGTAGTCGTGAGAAAGAAGGGTCCTGGAGGAAAGGGAAGGAGGAAGTCGCCAGTCGGCGACCACTCACCCCAGTACACACCCACCCCACCCGCCGAGCCTGGATCCGCGGAGCGCCTCTGGGGGCGCTCGTTCCTTGGCGCCTTCTCTCGCATGTCCCAGCGCCGCTGGGCTAGGGGCCAGACTGGTGGGGTCCCCGGGACTGTTCAAACCAGGCATGGTGGTCCAGTGGCCCCTCTGTCGACATCAGTGTAAAAACTGGGGTTAGTCGGTGCAGGGGGACTCAGCTCAGGGTCCCCCGAGGTCCAGGACGAGGGGAGGCCGGCGGGCACAACGCCCAGGGATTGGAAAGGCGGCTCCCACTGGGGCCCCTCCGGAGGTAGTGCCCGGTGACTCGCATCCTCCTGGAAGACTCGGGGCTAGCAGAGCCTGGGAGGCACTCGGGAGAGGTCAGAGCCAGGGGCGGCGGGCCGGGGCTGTACTCAGTCCCGGGCGAGCGCCCGCGGAGGCGGCGGTGGCAACGCCGGGAGGGCATGCCGCGCCACCGGAGCTCCTGTCGGGCGCAGGCTTCCCTGGCGCAGGCTGCGCGTGGCTGCTGCTACTCCCACTGCTGCTGCGGACTCCCATGGCGGCTCCGCCCGACCGGGGCCGCCGCCGCTGTCGCCAGCCTCGGGCTGAATGAATGAGTCGGAGCGGCGGAGCCCGGCTGCCCGCGACCGCGCTCACCGGCCCGGGACGCTTCCATATGGCCCGCGAGCAGCCGGCGTCCGCGGCGGTGGCGGCAGCCAGGCAGCCCGGGGGCGACCGGAGTGGCGATCGGGCATTGCAGGGGCCAGGGGTTGCCCGCAGGGGGCGGCCGTCACTGAGTCGCACTAAATTGCACGGGCTGCGGCACATGTGCGCGGGGCGCACGGCGACGGGAGGCTCCTTCCAGAGGCGGGCCCTGTGGGTGCTGGCCTTCTGCACGTCCCTCGGCTTGCTGCTGTCCTGGTCTTCGAACCGCCTGCTCTACTGGCTCAGCTTCCCGTCACACACTCGAGTGCACCGCGAGTGGAGCCGCCAGTTGCCGTTCCCCGCCGTCACCGTGTGCAACAACAACCCGCTGCGCTTCCCGCGCCTCTCCAAGGGGGACCTCTACTACGCGGGTCACTGGCTGGGGCTGCTGCTGCCCAACCGCACGGCGCGCCCGCTTGTCAGCGAACTGCTGCGGGGCGACGAGCCGCGCCGCCAGTGGTTCCGCAAGCTGGCAGACTTCCGCCTCTTCCTGCCGCCGCGCCACTTCGAGGGCATCAGCGCTGCCTTCATGGACCGCCTGGGCCACCAGCTGGAGGACATGCTGCTCTCCTGCAAGTACCGGGGCGAGCTCTGTGGCCCGCACAACTTCTCCTCAGTGAGTTGCCCTCCGCGCGAACCCGCCCTTTCTGACCCCGCGCTTCCCAGGAGTCCTGAGGCTCTTAGTTGGGCCCCTAGGGACTGGACACCAGGCCCCTGTGAGTGTCACCGTTTCCTGACTGGGTGTCACCGCTCCTCAGTGCCCAGGCAGAACCGCTCTTGAGTCCCTTGAGTCTTCAGGTGGTGGGGAACTTGAGCTTAGCTCTGTCTAGAAAGTCACCTCAATACTTAATACTGTTGGGTCCAGTGTCAGCCCCCGAACTCCTCCCTCTATTATCTATGGCTCCCGCTCTGAATAGGGTTCATGGGTCTCAAAGCTATTGCTCTCTGTCTGGGCTTTAGAGTTGTCTTAAATGGAGGCTTGTTGTCTGTGAGGAGAACAAATACAAAACCTTTCAAAAATAGGCTAACAGGAGAATCCCGCAGAGTTCTTAAGACAGCTTAAGATCCCAAGCAGTTTATGGTTTCAGAGTTCCACACAAAATGCAGGAGGAAACTCCCAGAAGGTTAACGAACACCAAAGTTGTGCCCCCCCCCCTTTGAGGAAGCGGCACCGTTCTGGAGAAACGCTGTAGAGGAGCTCACCAAAGTTGTGGGCCCCTTGGAGGCAGTGGCATCCTTCTGCTGATTTGGGGACTCTGCACCCACCCATCCCACTCCCCGACACCCCTGTAAGGTGTTAGTGTGGCTCTTCCTGGTTGGAGGAATAGCCTGAAGGTGGGAAATTTGGGGGGGGGGTGTCACGAGTGCAAACAGCCAGGGCCAAGAGAAGCTGTGCTAAGGATTTGTGAGCCATTTGCTGCGCGGCTTCCCCCACACTGTGGGTCTGGAGAACACAGATGTCAGGCAGAAGGTAGCTGCCTTGTACAGTCTGTCTCAGAAGAGCTCTGGTGCCAGGCCCCAGTGTGGTGCGAGCCTGTCCAGCATTTTCTGTGTAAATGCGCCTCAGGTGGGCTCCGGCTTTTCTACCCGTGGAGAAAAGGTTGTTGTGCGTTCGTGGGCATAACTGGCAGAATACGCTCACCTGATGGTTTTGTCGCTGACAAAGCTTTCCCCGGGATGGCAGAGTTGCCACGGTTTCAACAGGTGTTGGGCTGATGCCAGTTCGCCGAGGTCTCTGATTGGCTATTCTAGTTATTTCTTGTCTGAGATGCCACCCTAGGCTTCAGTCTTAATCTGTTCATTTTTGCTATCTGAATATAGAGTAAATCTGAATTATTCCTCCCTATCACATTCCATGTTTGGGGGGAGGGCTTTTCAGCTGCCCTTCAGACTGTCTCCCACCTGAGACTCGCTGCCTTAGCAAGCAGGGAATACTGTTAACATATGCTTCTACAAGGTTTCTTCCAGAACCTCAAGCGTAGTCCACAGAGGCCAAAGAATTTGGGCAGCAACTCCTGTGGTCAGTCGTTTTTTGACTGACCACTGGTGAACAACTTCTAGTGCTAGACTGACGTTCAAGGTTACATCTAAGTATCAGCTCTAAGTTGCCCGACATACAGCTTCTTCAATGCAATTCTGCATTGGACGATTGGTTTTCAAAGCATATTGAATTGGTATATGACACCAGGATTCCCTTCCAATATCACAACAGACCTGAGCTAGCAGTGGCTTTCATTCCTATATTTAAGATGAGGAGTGAACTGCGAAGAGCAGTCTCATGCTGGAAATCAGCAAGTTCAAAGTCTAACTTAGCATGAAGTCATGGGGAACCCTTCCTCTCCGCTCCTGGGCCTAGCTCCTATCAGAAAAGAGTAAGACTCTTGTCTCCTACCCTGACCACCTCCCCACAAGTCCCATGCCTTCTCAAAGCTGGGAGAATGGAAGAGGAGCCATCCCAGGTGGTTCAGATAGACACAGTCTAACCTAACTCTGCATGCTGAAGACACACCACCTGGCTTCAGCCTCCATGGCAGGCATGGGCACGAGTTGTGTGGGGCAGGAAGTGAGGAGCTGAGGACAGCAGGGTCCTTCCACAGGAGCATACTGTTTCTCCCAATCAGGATTTGTCAGCCACACCCACTGAATGGAAAATACTAACTCCCATCCCCAAAGGCTTGTGCCCTAGGGATTCAAAGTGACCCTGGTAGACTGTGATTTGGGTTCTGGCCTGGAAGTTTCTAGCCCTATAAGAAGGCATGCTGTAGGTTGTTTTTCCACCTGTAGACTTCAGAAGCTACTTCAGGGGAGTTCGTGACACTGAGCACATCCATCGGGAAGGCTTTCCTCTAACTGCCTTTGCCATCCTTGGTGGAGTAGCCCAGTAATGTAGAAGCTAAGGGCAGGAATTCTTGGGTCACATACATGGCTGCTCGGATCCTGAGTCTATGAGTGTGTGTATGTGTTTGTGTGTGTGTGTGTGTGTGTGAGAGAGAGAGAGAGAGAGAGAGAGAGAGAGAGAGAGAAAGATTTCTTTGGCTTGGAGCCTTTCCACCCCACTAAGCATCACCAAAATAATAATAATAATAATAATTGTTGAAATAGGAGCGGCAGGGCTGCGTCCCCGGCACCCGGCCGCCCGCATGGCTAGCTTATACCCAGAAATAATTACACGGAAACTGTATTCTTTCAAACACTGTCTGGCCCGGCTAGGTCCAGTTTCTTATTGGTTAGCTCTTACATATTGTTCTAACCCATTTCTAATATTCTGTGTAGCCCACGAGCTGGCTTACCAGGGAGGATCTTAACCTGCATCTGTCTGGAGCGGGAGAATCATGGCGACTCCCTCAGCTTCTTTCTCCCAGAATTCTCTTCTGTCTACTCCGCCTACCTAATTTTCTGTCCTATGAGGGCCGAGGCAGTTTCTTTATTATTAACCAATGAAATCAACAGATAAGATACAAGACCCACCTCCATCAAATAATAATAATAATAATAATAATATCTTAATAATTATTATTAATAATAATAGCAACAGCCAGCTTTCTTCCCATTCGTCTCTACTCCCCTGTGCATGTCACTGTACCTAAGTCTGTGCTTGCCTCCTCCTTCAGACAAGGGAAGGAATTGTCTAGTTCTACCGCTGTCTCCAGCTCCCAGCACAGAACCTGACACATAGCAGATGCCCAGGAGAAGTTTGGGAAATGAGTGTCTTCATAAGGTATCTGCAGGATCGTCTGTCTTCTTGGGTCTAGGCTGGCTCCTTCTAGCATTTCTGGTGGGTACCTGGCAGCCTATGGTGTGAGGAGCAGGCCGTTAAGCAGTTACCAGGCACCCAGGATTCCCAGGTTGTCAGATAATAGATAGAGCAACAAGTGAAGGGTGGGGCTTTTACAAGAGGCGGTCTGGCAGTGTGCCAGCTGTCTCTCGTTAGTCCCACGGTCTGAAAACAAACACCAAAGGGAGAGAAATTTATTGCCCAGGGCAGTCCATTGGGTTCATTCTCCAGGCCCATTCTGGGCATGTTCACTGATGGCCCTGGATTTGTTAAACTGGGCAAGGTTTCATCACTCAGCAGTCAGGCAGAGCAGTGCCCGCTTCTGAAAGCCTGTGTTGTTTCCCTGGCATCGGCCATGAACCTCGGCTCTGCACACGCTGGCTCCACTGTAGCTCCTGGCAGTCGAGACAGAAGTCTGCGCAGGAAGCAGAGCTGTGAGGCAGAGCTCTGAGAACCCTGGGGCTTAAAAGAGTTAGAGACAGGCCAATGCAGGGCAGGCTCTACTTCAAGAACACGGGGCCGTTGCCCTCTCTGGGAAACAGCATGCTTCAGGGGAAAGTATCAAGCAGACCTGGCCTTGGACTTTAGGTCCGTCCCCTCCTAGCAGTGTTCCCTGGGCATACACTTTGCTTCTGAGCCTCCAGTAATAAGTTCTTCTGAGATATAGGAGGAATATGTATGTATGGATGGATGGATGTACGTATGTATGTATGTGCAGTGACTGAATCTGGAAGGCAGTGGATGCTTAATATTCAGGAGACATTGTTACAATATAGAGAAAGAGTTAGGCACTGTGTACTGTTACCTGGTGGTAAGAGTTACTAAGTATTATCACCATAATTATAATATCTTACCATGACTGCTTAACTGAGGGAGTTGGGTATACTCATTCTTAGCTTAGTCATCGAATCAACCAGTACCTATTATATGTCAGCTCTGTGCCAAGGTCTTTTCTAGACATTGGAGATAGAGAATTAAATAAGGCTTGGTAAATGCCCTTCAGGAACCTGCAGAGATGCATGAATTAGAATGAAGAGCATTCAGTGTGGACTCAGAAGTATCCAGATCAGACTGGTGACCTCTGATGGCTTCCTGGAAGAGGTGACATTTGAGATGAATCTTGAAGACTAAGCAGGAGAGCAAAAGACAAAGAGAATCATGCACAGACAAGAGAGTGCAGGAGAGAGCAGGAAGGGGCGAGATTGAGCAGGTGCCTTCTGGGCCCTGGGACCAGTTCAAGGTAGCTGGGGTGAGGTGGTCCTTGAAAGGTCCCAAGGCAATGGTGTGATTGTGATTGGTACCTGGGAGCCCAGCTAAAGTTTTGAAATTTGCTGTAAAATTCTGACGTGTTTTTCGTTTGGCTGTTACGCTGTTATACCTGTGTCCCAGTACCTACCTTCTGCCCTCATTTCTAAGTCCACTGGGGCTATTTTCATTCATACCCACCTCCATCTTATCCATCCCCCTTTCTGTAGGAGCTAACCTTTAGTTCAGTTTTGGACCATTCATACATGCTATAAGCCAAGGAAACAACATTTAGTTTTTTTTTTTGTTTTTTTTTTTAGCACATTTTGCCACATCAAGCCAACGGTCTGTTATGAGCCAGCAATAGGAAACAAGAAATGATTTCAGTAACATATTGTTTGAAATCAGCAAATTCTGTTGAAATGCTGCTAGGCCAGGCAGTCTAGTGGCTGTGAGGATAGATAGCTTTAGGGAGGGAGGTGAGAAAAAAAATACTTCTATCTTTATAGAAAGAGGAATAAATGAGCTACTACATGTAAAGTGCTTAGACCAGTTTCTGGCATCAAGCAAGCATTCAATAAATGGGAGCCGTTTCCATTTTTATTACTTGCATGAACATTTACAGTGAAGGGCAAAGGCAGATAGCATCGGGCATCTCTGACAGGCCAGACCCTGCCTGGCTTGTTTCATGTCATCATCACAGTAACCCTGGACAGTCTGTGATAATCCGTGCTTTATAAATGGAGGAAATGTCACCCTGAGAGGATGTGCAATGTGTTTCAAGTCAAGAGCCAGCGGGTAGTAAGGCCAAGTCAAACCCAAGTTGCCATGACTGCAGGAGCCCATGCGCTCTTTGCAGCCCAATGAGAAGGGAGCAGCGTTGAGGAGGGGACAGGGGGCATTGTGTAGAAAGACCAGTCCAGCCTCAACTTGGCCCTGGCCAGCTGCGTATCTTTGGCCTCAGGACTCTCTTCTGCAGTAATAGGATATGAGCCAAATGGCCAGTGGGACTGAGCAGCAGAGTTCTCCATTCAAGTGGGCAGTCAGGGGGAAAGAGGGCTCAGATGCTGCAGATGGCTGGAGCGTCTCGGCCATCCATTCCTTTTCTTTGCAGAACTGAAACAGTGATTATGGGGGAAACACAGGCATTATTGAAGAGCTGGAGACAGGACGGTGATTAAATAGACATTTATAAAAGGCACATGAAAAGACCTCTACCAGTTATTTGACTTCAGGGAAATTAGTTTAGGGAATCAAACATAAACTCTATCCAGGTCTGCAGATATCCAAATTGACCCACATCAGGCTAATTCCGATAGTGGCTATTTGGGGGCCACTGTGGCCAGTCATGAAGGCATCAATCAGACGTCTTCCCAATCGAGAAGGGCTGGAGCAATAACCAGGCCATTTTCTCTGTATGTGCATAGCTTTGACCCCACTGATTTGGTTGGGTAGATGCTCAAATCCCATCAACCAAGGCTCAATAAATACTTACTGTGTGCCAGTAACTGACCTACCGAGATGATCATAAATCTAATCTGTTCCCGGCAAAGAGACTCGCAAAGGTCAAGGGGCTTTATCCTTTATTGTTGGCTGTGAAAGGAAGTCCCTGCCATACCAAGAGTGGGACTGGGATCTGTGTCAGAACCATGAACCACAGTCACCTTTATCAGACTCTCATGAGCACTGTGGAACCCATTTCTCAGATCAGGAAAGCGAGGCTCACAGGTCACACACGAGAAGGCAGCCCAGTCAGATTTTAACCGAAGATTGACCCAGTGTTAAAGCTGCCAGCTCTTGGGTGTTAATCCTGGGAGGGGGATGGCCCAGTTCCCAAAGTCTTCATTGGAAGTGCCTACTGCTGGTTGGTATGGACCACAGAAGTCAGGCTGGATTTCATGACCTGCGCCCCTGGAGGCAGAGATGACTCTCAAGAGAGAGAGTCCAGCCTGAACTTGCCATTCCCCTGCTACAGCAGCCACATACAGCAGCAGCTTTGTTGGAGGGGAGGGGCTCAGGAGTAAGAAGTTCTCCTGGAGTCCAGGTCTGCTCTGAATGGCCCTTTTCATTCTTTCAAGGACACTGATAACTTAAACCTACAGGTTGCCAAAGTGAGAACCCACTCAGGCCGGGTCTAACAAACAGAACATGAACTGTTGGTCAAACAGAGACAGAGGAGGCACTGAGGAAGTTAGCTCCCCAGAGCATGTCAAAAGTCTCCCCAACACCATTGTTTCCACTGTTACCTTGCTTAAGAAATTGTCTCCTCAGATTTCCACACACATTACTGAGTTCCTACTCTCCACTGGGCACTTTCACACCCATTGTTTTATTTCAGTCTGGCAGTGGGCCAGACAAGAAAATGTCCTTTTCTCCCTGTTACAGACAAGGAAACTGACATACAGGTAGGTCAGTACCTGGCCCACAATCACGGAAAAAAAAATGTTCTCGGGGTCCCAAAGTCAGCATTCTTTGTACTACACCATAGCCATTGCCTTTTGACCAAACAAGCCTGCATCTCTCATCCTCCCAGTCTAGGGAGGAAACTGTTACACACATCCCATCTCGTTTACCCCTGCAGTGATGGAGGATACCTATTGCTTGACGACAGACACCAAAGAAGGAAGTGTCTTGCCCAGCATCACACACAGGAAATAGAAGAATAGATAAAACTTGAGTTCAGTTTCCCTAAGAAACATTATAGGTTGAGCTAACTATTACATGGCAAGATTCCTGGGGCCTCCACACAGGCATGCTGATTTGATAGGTAGGGGCAGGGCCTAACAAGTATTTCTCGCAAGCTCCTAATGACGTGGACGATGCTAGTCCGTGATCCACTCTTTGGGATGCAAGGTTGTGAACGTCTTGAAGCTCCAGGAAATCAAGGGGAAGTCACTGGTGCAGCTCTCAGTCATGCCGGTTCCCGGGCTCTGTAAAAGTCTATCGGGGAGCAGCATTTTATTGTGGAGAAAGGTGGAAGGTCTAGGGAGGAATGCTAGAATCACTGGGAAACACAGCTGCAGCCTCTGCTATAGCAGATCTGGGTCAGTAGAGGGCTATGGGCCCAGCCAGAGCATCCACCAAACCAAGTGCCAAGCTACCAGCGTTGGTATAGCAGAGGTTGCCCCCAATCAATGCTGCTTCCGCTGCTGCACCTGCCACTCAGTTCCCTGGGGAGCTTGACAGACACCCCTCCCTAGACTCCCATCTCTCCTCCACTTCAGGAGGAAGGCCTCATAAAATTCAAGTCTCAAATACCCTGAGCAACGGCTCCATGAAGTTGCCTGTGTCCTCCTCCCTAGAACCT